GGCTGAGAGAGAGGGAGACACAGAATCAGAAACAGGCTCCAGGCTCTGAGCCATCAGCCCAGCGCCTGACGCAGGGCTCGAACTCACAGACCGCGAGTCGTGACCTGGCTGAAGTCGGACGCTTAACCGACTGTGCCACCCAGGCGCCCCTCTCCTCCATGTTCTGAACATAGCTGTGTGATAATTTTTTGTTAATCAACGTCAGTGCTTACATTATTATGACCACATAAACACTGTTCAAAACTAAACCAAAGGGTGGCTCAGTCGGTTGAACGTCTGACTCCCGTTGGCTCCGGTCACAATCCCAGGGTCATGGGATCCAGCCTCACGTCGTCGGGCTCCACGCTGAGCTTGGAGCCTGCTTAGGATTCTCTCTCTTTCTCTGTCTCTCTCCCCACCCCCCTCTGCCTCACTCCCCAGGTCTCTCTCTCTCTCTCTCTCTCTCTCTCTCTCTCTCTTAAAACGAAACAAAACTAGGGGCGCCTGGGTGGCTCAGTCAGTTAAGTGTCCAACTCTTGGTTTGGGGTCAGGTCATGAACTTGTCATTCATGGCATTGAGCCCTGAGTCAGGCTCTGTGCTGACAGTGCACAGCCTGCTTGGGATTCTCTCTCTCTCTCTCTCTCTCTCTCTCTTTGCCTCTCCCCCAGTCACACATGCACACACTCTCTCTCAAAATAAATAAACATTATAAAAACCCAAATTCGTAATTCTTCCCTAAACTTTCCAACAGAACTATAAAACTCCATAATGTGGTAAATATGTCAGATAATCCATCATCTTCATTTTTTTTCTTCTTGGAGACAGTCCCCCTACGGTCCTCAGCCATCCTGCTCCAAACTGGCCTGCCTGCTCTCTAGATGAGCTGCACGGCGGTAGCATTGGAACTTTGCTTCACCATTATTAGGGAACTCTCTTCACCAGTCTCTCCACCAGTCAAAGTTCTTGGTTGCAAGTAAAGAGGCTAACTCCCACTGATTAAGCAGGAAAGGAGCTGACAGATTACCTGACTTATTTGCTTCATTACGAGGAATTTTCATAGTTCTGTTGGAGAGTTTGAGGAACAACTGGTGACTAGTACATGGAAAACATAGTAAATAAAAACATGAGGTGCTTACCAACTCCAGGAAAACCAAAAGGTCGAGCAAAAAAAAAAAAAAGAAAGAAAGAAAACTTAGTACACTGGATTCCATGATGCATGTCTGATGGCAAAACTGCCTCTATTGCCTATTTACCGAGTACTGAATGCCAGTTTGGACCTCTGCCACTTCTGTGCCAAGAATTTGACCTCGCAGCCCATCATTGCTGCCACCAGCATAACCACGGATACAGCTCATGATTCATCCCTCGCCTCTCTCAAAATACCGCATAGGTGCAGGTTATCAGTGAAGTCTAGGTCGCAGGTGCTGGCTACAGGGAAAGCTTGGAAATGAGTCCTTTTCAGTTCCCATGGTGTGATAGGTGTTAGGTATTTTTCTCTGTACTCACAAAACTCAAAGCTGAAACACAGAGAGCCATTTGGAAGCTGAGCCAAATGAGAACAAGAGATAATCACACATTGTATCACTTGTTCCTCTTTTTTTCAGTTTACTCTATTTTCGTAGAGCATAATCTCCAGTAGTCTCCTTGCATAGGGATACAAAAGTGCGTGTGCATGCAGAGAGCTTTTTTATGGAAAATTCTCATCTTAAAAAATGCCCTTATTCCATTATTTTGCTTGAATGACAATTACATAATTCTTGCTAGGGAATTAACTTCCCTAGAAATTTGAAAGAGTTGCCCCATGGTCTTGTAGCTTCTGGTGTTGATTTTGCAAGGTCCAGTGTCATTCTGTTATCTGTGGCCTCTTTTTGTTGGCTTCTGGTAATTTCTATCTCTGGAGCTTCGAAAGTTCATGATGATGTCCAGTAGTACGTACTTTGCTTTTATTTGTATGTCTTTTATTATTCATTGTTGAATACTACTCAGAGACTCTTCATGTAGAAGCTTCTTCAGTTCTAGAATTTTTTCCTGTAGTTTGATAACTTCCTTGTCTTCATTTTTCTCCCTTCATTGTCTTGACCTCCTATGAGTTGGATATTGGGCATTCTGAATGGATTCTCCGGTTTTCTTTCATTTTCTTCCCTGTTTCCCATCTCTCAAGTCTTTTTGTTCTACTTTCTAGAACTCTATCTTTCAATCTCCAACTCTATTCTATTGAAAATTTTGCCTCTACTCTCATAGTTTTTTAACATTTTATTTGAATGTTTATTTATTTTTGAGAGAGAGAAACAGAGAGAGAGCAGGGGAGGGGCAGAGAGAGAGAGGGAGACCCAGAATCTGCAGCAGGCTCCAGGCTCCGAGCTGTCAGCACGGAGCCCGACGTGGGGCTCGAACTCACGGACTGTGAGATCATGACCCGAGCTGAAGTCAGATGCTCAACCGACTGAGCCACCCAGGCGCCCCGGAGCATTCCTATTTTTAAACAACCATGTTTAATGACTTCTGACTCCCTTTTTTCTGTTTGTTTCGGTCTCTGTCTTTCATGCTAGAGGCTTTATTCTATGTGGGATAATCCAGAGCTGCCCATTCAAATTTAAGAGAGAGGCACCAAAAGCTATTTGTGCACGGGTAAGGCCAGCCGCCTGGCAGGCGTTGCTGTGAAATGACAAAATAGCAAGCTAGCTTTCCCCCGGAGTCAGTATTTGAAGGTCCTTTTGTCTTGTGAGGTCAGTTTCTTCGGAGAGAAGTTCTTCAAGGCCCTGACTGCAGAAGAGTAGAAACTAGGCTGACATGTTCTGGGAGCCCGCCAGGAGACGGTCTCACTGTTGAGTACACAGACTTTCACCGAATTTTCCTGTTCTCAGTACAGTGCTTCCTCCTGTCCCCCCCCCCCCCCCCCCCCCCCCGCCCCCAACTGCTCTCCACACAGCCTCCTTCCACCCCAGGCTAGGCCTGAGCTGCCCTAGTTCAGCAGACCTGGGGGAAAATGAGCATCTCCTGCTGGGGCGGAGGAGGGAGCCACCTGGCCATGTGGGCCGAGGGAGGGGTCTGTTGCGGTGACACCTTCAGTCAATCTTCCTTCTTCCAGCCCACCCTGCACCCCATCATCGGGAACACTGTAGCCCCACTCTTGGGCCTTTGGTGGGTCCTTGGACCCACGGGCCTTCCTCCCCCCACAGCCCAGGACATTCAACATTCCAAGCCTTCCACCTCTTTCACTGGCCTGCTTTCTGTCTCTGAAAGTGTTTACTCACACCCGCCTCCTCAATCCTATCTCCTGCTCTGTTTCCTTAAGGATTTATTCCTTTTTTATTCCTTTAATCTCATTTTAGTGGGCTTTTGAAACAGAGCCAGGATAAACATACGCACGCAGTCAGCTACGTTTTCGTGGAAGTTCACAATAATATTTAACAATACATAAAAATCAAGTGTCCAAAGAGAGGCACATAGAAGGCTTTCTGGGGGGTTTGCGGGAGGATACTCCATCCAGGAGACAATGGTTCTCCGGGGGATGGGGAGGGCAGGGTTATAAAAGAGTTATGCTAATTTTTTTTTTTTTTTTTGCAAACTTTCAACAGATAACAGGTATTTTTCAATTAATAAAAAAGCGTGAGCGTTAACAATTATTAAAAGGCATCTTCTGAAACAAGAATCAAGCTATTGAAAACAGGGGTGTAAACAGGTGTGTAGAAGAGGATCCCCCAATGGAGGTTTACACAGTCTGTGGGTTTTGACCACGTTCCAGCGAGTTCCACAGAGGCAACCCCAAGACCTTCAGAGGGTGGCAGAAGGGGGATAGGGGGCTGAGTGGACATCCTAGGCCAGTCTCTACTTGTACCACAGGGCGCTCTGTTTTTATCTACTTTATAGGTCAAAATTCTGCTTATATTTTGATCTTTTTTTTAAGGTTTATTTATTTTTGAGAAAGAGAGAAAGCGTGCCAACGGGGGATGGGTTGAGAGACGGGGAGACACCGAGCCGTCAGCACAGAGCCTGACGCGGGGCTCGAACCCACGAACTGCGAGATCATGACCTGAGCCGAGGTCCGACGACGCTTCGCCGACTGAGCCTCCCAGCTGACCCAGTATTCTGATCTTTTTAAAGATCTCCACACTAAACAAAGAAGCCTGGAGAGTACTGATGAAGATAGAGAGAAAATGAGGTTGGCGTGGGGCCAGGGGGAATCTTCCAAGGATGACACCATATGCTGTAACCCTGTGCACCTTCCCATCAGAAACGACAGTAGCTGTGCAAGCACCAGGTAAAGAGGAGTGTGCTCTGCAGACAGGGAGTACATATGCACTCCCAGGGCTTGCAGAAGGGACTGTGACTACCGATCGGGGAGCTAACCATACCCAGCTAGCCCCAGGTCCCAAAGCAGGGGGTGTGTGTTCAGCTAATACTCAGCCAGTGTCCATCTCTGGCCTCAGTATCTTCATTTGCACGATGAAAGGATTGCATTCATATCCCAGCAAACATCCGAGAGGCTCCAAGGACTACTGTCTTACTGACAGAGTGACTGTCAACTCTCCGGAGCAACAGAAGTGCCCCTACCTTAAAGACGCCTTGAGAAGCAATGCTGAGTTCTCACAATTCCACACGCTTCCTTTGGAAGAGTGTTTTCATTTTTCTCTCCCCGGACAGGCCAGCCCAACTCTACCACGACTGAAGCAAGTCAAATCCCAAATGCTGCAGCTTAATAATGGGCTCGGAGCACAGCCGCCCCCCTCCCCCGCTTCCTTATGCAGGCAGCAACATCCCTCTCTTGGGGAGCTGGCCGAGGTCTAGTCCGATTCCTCGTGTTGGTTCCTAGCACACATCTGGGTTGTTCTGTTCCTTTCGGCGTTCTAGTCCTACCGAGAGGTTCTCCTTTTGACTGGATAGTCAGGGAGGGAGGATTCTGTTCACCTTCCTAAGCTCTCTGCAAAATCGCATCTCCTTTTTGCCCACACACTTGGCTTCATCACCCAACCTACCTCTCTGGAATGGTCCAAGAATGGCCAGCAGCAAAGGCCCCTCGGTCTGGCAGATCAAAGATGCTTTGGAATCATTGAGCACCATTCCGCCCCCACCTGACTCTCAGCTCCTTTATCTGTCTGGGGTGGGGGGGGGGGGGAGAAAAAGGAGAGAGAGAGAGAGAGAGAGAGAGAGAAAGAATGAATGAATGAAATTTTTGAAAGAGGAAGTCTCACAAGCCTCTGCATTCCCTTACAGGACTTCAGCTGTGTCACCTAGGCTTCCGTTTTGCAAACCAATCACATCCTGCTCGATGAGCCTTGAGAACCACCTGTGCCGACGCCCCCCTCCCCCAGCTCCTTCCTTTGGGTGCTGCTGAAGCAAACCACAGGAGCACCTCCAGTGCCTGAGGCAGGAATATATATACACACACACAGATGACTCAGATCGGTTTTTCGAGTTATTTGTTGCTTTTGTTTGGTTTTGAAAGCAAAGTAAGTGATCTGAGCCGAGCCTGGGTTCAAGTTCCACTCAATGGCTGCAAAAAGCAGACTCCTGAACTTGAGGTCCCAATAAAGTCCTACATTGCATCATACAGGAAGACTCATCCCTGCTTCCTGGAGATGAAGAGAGCGAGCGTGCAGGGAAGACGGCGGCCCAGTCACCGCATCTGCGGTATTTCTTCCCCTCTCCTCCCTCCGTGGGCCACTCCTGGGAATAATCTAACCCCAAAGACTGGAAGCCACCTGAGCTCCGGAAGCGAGCCGGCTGGATTTTAAGAGTCGGACACGCCCCTTCCTCCAACCCAGGGCACAGCTACCTCCACGGGCCGGGCGACTCCTGCCTGCAGCCCACCGGGCACGGCTAGGGACGACTCTTAAGGAGCAGGAAACTGAAACCACTTGCTTCTCCACAGGCAAAAAGCCCAGTGCTGGGAAGCCGCTGGAAAAGGTGTCTGTTCCAGGAATGTATTTCCCAGGACCAAGCTGGCATTCTCACTGCTGAGAGCCTAATTCCTGGAAGGATACCCCGTGGACCCTGCTTGGAACGCGGACTTGAATGGTCTCTCCGCTCAGCATCCAGGGGAAGGTGGCAAGGGCTTCCCAAGAGAAATGAGAAGTCAGCGCCAAGAGCCAAGGAAGAAATAACTTCCATTGCTGACCAATGGAGTTAACAGGAGGACAAAAACTCAGCAGCTCCGTCACAGGGAAATGAAACATGATTATATATAGAGAAAGCACTTTCAAAACGAGCAAAGGCAAAGCAGAAAGCATGACGGAGCCGCGAGAAGGAAGAGTTAGGGGAGGCAAGAAGGAATTAGTCCTCAGGAATTCAGGTCAGGAAACAGGGAGCTGGGGCAGAATTCACAAGAGGGCGGCCAAGGAGGAGGCTCTTCCCGGAGGAAGGTGCGTCTTCTGCTCTGGCCCTCAACGCTGCCCAGGACCTCGGGATCTGGGTCCGCCGCCCTCCAGCCCTCTGGGTTCAAGGGCAAAGCTTGCGAGGCAACGCCAGGAACCGACACGGCGCAGGATGCTCCGTCCCGAATCGGGGACAGGGGGAGGGGAAGATGCGCACGGCCACTGCTGGGCCCCTGACAAGTAAACAGCTCGCCCAGAACAGGCGCGTCCGCGTCCGGAGCCCGGCTCAGGGCCCCCGCTCAACCCATCAAGGACGGCAGCGGGATACCCCGCATCCCCGCCCCCGCCCCGGAGGCACAAAAGGGATGCGTGGAGATCGGGAGAGCAGGAGAGCGTGAACCAGCCCGCACCAGAGAATCACAACGCGAGCGCGGCCCCCTGCCTCGGCCTCCCCAGCGGGGTCCGGTCCGCCCCGGGACGCGCGCGCCTCCCCCAGCCCCCAAGCCCCTGGACCCCGATCGCCCCAGGCGGACAAAGCCCGGCGCTGGGCGGGGCTGGGTGTGCAGGGGGGCACTGGGACCCCGCAGACGCCCGCACAGGTGGGCTCCGTACCGGGTGTGGGTGCCGGGGGCGGGGCCCGAGCTCCCGGGAGACGGTTGCCCAGGGGACGCGGCGGGCGGGTCCCGGAGCTACTCGAGCCTCCCGGCGGCGGCGCCGAGCCCGCGGGGGCCTGAGGGCAGGCCCGCGGCGCGGAGCGGGCTAGCGGGGCAGCGGCGG